TATTAGTAGGGATAAATTGCTGATTAATCAACATACAGACCATTTTAACAGCAAATTTCTTAATTTTTTCTATTTTTTCTTTCAAAAATCGCATTTTTTCAAATAAAAAATTACAGAAAACTGTAATTCAACTCTCTGTCACTATATGCTTCAACTCAAAACTGTGTTGTATATTAAGTATCCATATTCTTGAGAATGTTAATAAATTATTTATACGGTTTTATGGATATTTCAACCAGAGCATGTTTAGAACTGCGTGTTTTCGCCTTGTTCCACTGTGGAAAAGTTGATCGCGTGCGTGACAAACCACCATAAACCTTATCCTGCGCGCTGCGCACGTCGAATAGCACCGACTGGAAAAGGAATCATAAGCTATTCCTTCCCGTCCGGGCGCAAACTGGACGCTGTTAATTAAGCCACACACCGGCGCTGCGCCGAAGATCTAATGAGCCGAGCGAGCGCTTAGACGAGTTCTATTTCCAATCCTGCCTCGGGTTATATCAAAATACAGAACCGGACTATCGCCTTAACATTAAAAAAATATAAAATTTTAAAATTTATTTTAAAAAGTTTTGTTTTGTTGAGTTTTAATGAGTTTTTGTTGATAATACGGTCCTGAATGTTTTGGTACAATTGCCGTACGTTAATAGAAGAAGGCGCAACCGCGACGCAGACTCATTTATTACTTTTAAATAACGAATTTAATTAAGAGCGGAGCAGCGAAGATGAAATGGTAAACGGGTGAAGATTCTCTCCGCGTGGCGCGCGGAGAGAAGGCGGCGGTGGGCTGTGCGTGGCTCAAGGGCCCGAACGGCTCCGAGTCGCTACTAAAATACGCAATCGATAAATAATTTTCATTAATATACATGGAGGCAATAAACAACCCGATCGCGGCCCATCGACGTCTTGGGCCTGTGGATGCTTTTACTATAACTAGCTACCTGTTTTAACTTTCTGGTAGCATTCTGGTTTCATTCATTTTACTCGCTTTTTGTGTATCGGCTCGGCGCGACTATAAATATTAATATCGTCGGGATGAATGAAAAAATGTATTAAATAAAAATTGGATGGGTTTTATAAATATATATTTTGTTGGGTTATAATTATCTTTTGTGGTATAACAAGAAAAATGGAAAAAAATTAATTTTTGGAAAATTTTTGTTTTCAAAGTGATTTTTTTATAAAATAGTGGTAATATTTATTGAAGTAGGATGTGGATAAGTTCTATTTTATTTTAAAATTGAATTTTATAATGAATTATAAGGTTTAAACCAGTTTAAAATCATTCGAAATTGAAAAATATTAAATTTTTTTTCGAAATCTGTTTTTTAGTGATTTTTTTACTATTTTTACAGTTTTTGTCAGTTTCTACTTATAAAATTGGTTCAAAATTATATATAGTTAAGAAAAATTATAAACAATCTTATTTTTAATAATTTTCCTTAAAAAAATTGCAATATTTCATGTTTTAAACAAATTTTTATGAAAATTTTCAAGTGGAGACTTTAATGCTTCGTCTAATTCTCACTTAATTTAAAAAAATCATAAAAAATACAACCTACAATATTTTTAACATAAAAATCCTCAAATTATTTGTATAATTTACTAATCTAACCAAAAATTTAAAAAAAATTAATTTTATCAAAATTAATCCTGAAAATTTTAATTTTTGCAATAATTCCAAATTTTTTCATCAAAAAACTCAATATAAATTGATTTTGATACTATGTTATATGTCACCATGAAAAACTGGAAGACCACCGTCTCGGCCTCTGAAGACGCGTATCTATCACAGTCAATGCGCGGCCATTATGCGTTCCGTTCGCCTGCAGTTTTTTCTTCTGTTTTGTACGTTTCGCATCGGTTTATTGAATGCAAACGTAAGCAAAACGTACGCATCGCGAGTTTCTCAATGACGGACGCTTCTTCTTCTTCTTATGTCTCTGCGTTGAGAGCTTTTACGACGACGCAAGACGCGCATTTGCATACAACACAAAGCCATCTCATCTCATTGCGATTCCAGGCATTAAAACATCAATATTTAAGCTCTGGATGAAAGCTTCAGTTAACATTTTATTTTTTCTAAAGAAAAATTTTATTTTTTATAAATAATTATTGAGTTATTTAAGAGATTTGAGCAATTAAACGTTATCCTTAGATCAGGGCTTTGAAGGAGATAATTAAGCGATTTGCAATTGTGTTTTTATTCGTTTCTTTTCGTAATTCACTTAATTTACTTTTTGCTCGGTTTGTTTTCATCCAAGCTTTGGACTTGTTTAATTCGTTTTCGCCTTTTGGAGCTTCGGCCATTGCTAGCGCAGGAAAGCTCGTTTTATCTTCACGCTGGCTGGCCGCGTCGCATGTCGCTGCCGCTGCTTTTTTTATTCTCAGCGACAAGCCTTGCGAAGCGTGTGTTGTCCTTTCGGCGTTCGCCGCCGTGAATGAAAGTGAATGAAACGTCGTCGTCGCCGGCGTCGGCGCCGATCCTTTGTAGTGCGCCCGCGCGGCCCAAACAGTAGCAGTTTGTTCGTCCCCACGCCGTGTATCGCACATGCACGCAGCTACGCATCGGCGAAGAAGAAAGAACGAAGAATGAACGCGCGGACAATGGACTTGTTTTACTAAAACAACTTAAAATGGACATCCAGAGGATTTGGAGTTGAAACAGTTGAAACTTGAGACTGTTTTATGCATTAAATCACTGAAAAACACACAAAGTTTAAAATTAAATTCCAAGGAAACGAAAGAAGCTTCTTTAAATTTTTAAAATGCGTCTTAAAGTTTATTTAATTCTTAATGAAATATTTTAGTAAAATTTTTGAATATCTATAATAGTTTTGGCAATATTTACATTTTAAAATATTTTAACACAAAAAAAACTAAATCATTAAAATACACACAAAGTTTAAGACAAAATTCAAAGGAAAATAACAAAAAAATTACAAAATTCAACGACTATTTTAAAGTTTATTTAATTCTTAATAAAATATTTTAGTAAAATTATTTAATATCATTTATGGTTTTTGAGATATTTACATTTTAAAATATTCGAACACAAAAAAAATAAATTACTGAAAAACCCACAAACTTTAAAAAAAAATTTCTTGCAAACTATACAAAAAAATTTAAAAATTCAAAAAGTATTTTAAAGTTGATTTAATTCTCAATAAAATATTTAAGTAAATTTTTTTAATATCTTTTATAGTTTTTGTAATATTTACATTTTTTCTAGCAAACTAAACAATAAAATTAAAAAATTCAAATTTTATTTTAAAGTATATTTAATTCTTAACCAAATATTTTAGTAAAATTTTTGAATAATTTTTATACTTTTCGAAATATTTACATTTTAAAACATTTTATCACAAAGTTACAGTACTCAACAAAACGTTAAATATTTATTCAGCTGTAACATAAAATAATTTGATGAAAACACTTCAATTTACTTGCGCATATGGAAATTTAACGACGACATCCTTGAAGGTCTTTCCGATACAATCTGCGTATTCAGCTTGCTGCATATTTCTGCATGTGTAGCAATTCAGTAACGAGGCGCAAGAAGGTCTTCATTGCGAGCGCGTAAATTGTGAACGCGAATCAACAACATTCGCACGCCTCTGCTACCGCGCGCGCCCATTTCGCACGCCGTTTTACGACGCGCGGACGCTCATCCGGACGCGCCGAAAACGCCTCGCGTCGCCGCCGCTTGCCCACTCGTTTACACGCCGCAATCGCGTTCATTTCAGCGGAATCTGCATAAAATGCGCTTGCTTACTGCCACCGCAAACCCGAGCAGCTGCTACCGATCAGAAGAAGTGCAGCAATTCGAGTAGCACACGCAAGATGGGAAAAAAGGCATGATAGAGATACGCAAAAGTGCTTTTTATGCTGCTTTTCCGAGGAGCAATAATATGTCTCACGTTATTATCCGGCGATACTGTTAAGACGTCGACGCTTTTAGATTAAGCGTGTTTGCAGACACGCTGTAATGAAGCGAGGTGTTAAAAAAATATTGTTTTTTGTGGTGGTAAATTTGATGGTTAAGTGCGTCGTTTCGGGACAAGATAAAATTGTTTTATAGGTCACGTTAAAATGTTTGTTTTGGTTTTAACAAAATATTTAACAGGAATAATAGTTTTGTTTGTTTTATTTAGTATTTTAAGAGGTATAAAATTTTTGTTTTAAAAAAATGTAAAAATTGAAGGATAACGATTTTTAAATGTAGTTTTATGGCAGAAAAAAGTTATTTAAAGCATAAAAATTAATAAAATATTAAAACATAGGTCTTCTATTATCTATTTAAAAAAAATTTAACAAAATTGATCAATTGAATCAAAAGATACAGAGTGTTTTATTTTGCATGTTTTTTGAAGTAGATATGCAACTTTGCATGCATTTTAAGGTAGGTTTTGGATCTGCTTTAGAATTTTACTCATATACAAATGAAAGTATAGTTAATTTTGAATTATTTCCTGAAAAGAACATAAAAATCAAGCAAAGGAAACAGAAGATACAGGGTATTTTTTATTTGAAAATTTTTAAAATTTAATAAAAGCATAAACAGAAAAGAAATTGCACTTTAAACATAGTTTTATGGCAGAAAGGAGTAATTTAAAGGATAAAAATTGATAAAATATTAAATTATAGGTCTTCTATTATCTATTTTTAGTAGATTTAACGAGATTTATCAAATGTATCAAAAGATACAGAGTGTTTTATTTCGCATGTTTTTTTATGTAGATATGCAACTTTGCATGCACTTTAATGGATGTTTTAAAAAATTTTAAGGGTGTTACTAACACACAAATGAAAGTCTACTTAATTAGCTACAATTTCCTGAAAAGAACATAAAAATCAAACAAAGGGATCAGGAGATACAAGGCATTTTCCACAAAAAATACAAAAAAATCAAAAATTAAATTAATCAAGATAGTTTATTGCACATCTAAAACTATTATTTCCTTAACTACATAATTATTTACAAAACCAAACTCCTAAAATTATTCCTTCAACAATTTCCAATCCTTCAACCCCTTGTAAACTTCATTTAAAACTTTCTTCCACTCCCTGAGCTCTGCAATAGTATCAATATTCAAATAAAGCGTTTCATGCCTCAAAACAATCGCCAAAGTCTTAGCTCTCGGACATTCTTCTCTTTTGGCGTTGTCAATCTCCTGTTTGCAATAAATCAGGTCAATCAGCATCAGTGGATCTTGATCGATTTCGTTGTCCCAAAGTTTCAGCACGGTTCCACTCAGCGTACACAGCATTCTCTTCCAAACAACCGGGTTGATTCTTGATCTCACGTTTAACATTCCCATCTTTTCAACGGCAATATTCATCTGCGCCAGTTGAATATTCATCTGTACTTCATGAGCTAATGGAGAATTTTCATACAAAGTGATTTTAATACTTTCCTTATTATCTTTGGATAACACTTTTGTATGTAAATCATTCACAGTGATTTTGAAATATCCCAGAGGTACAAAAGATGATGTTTTGATGTTGGTCTCAACGGGATCTTTGGTGTAGAGGTCCATGTATCGCAGTTTTCTTCCTGATAACCTCAATTTGTTCGAGAGGCGACCATCGCTTTTCTTGTGGTTTTTCTCGCACTGTTTATGCAGTAAACAGTAGACTTTTCCGGTTAATTCAAAATTTCCGTCAAGATTATCGAAGAGGAATGTTCGGTGGAAGTCTAGTTTGTGGTTTTCTAGGTGGATTTCAACTGCATCTGTTGAGAAGATGCGTTTGTCATCCATTAATACTAGGACGAACCAGCCTGTTTTATCCTCGGAGAGTTCGGGTAATTTGATAGAAATGTCTGAGATTTTGATACTTCCGGTTTGTTTCGCTTCGATGGGTTTCTCGTAGTGGGTCTGGCGGATTTCCTTGAGGACTTTTTCGTACTTACAATCTGAAAATAATAAAAAAATGCATTTTACTATAAAAAAAAAATTAAAAAAAATTAAATTTAACCAATTTAGAATTAATATTTTGATATGAAATTTTCAGAGATAATAGCTTAATTAATTCTTTATACAATAGTTTATATATTGATAAATTATCTTTATAAATGTCTGAGATATTAATTATTTAGTAAATTATTTCATTGGAGAATTTAATGCATTCTAATAGTGAAAGTTTTGACAAAATCAAAAAAATTATTTAAACTTAAATTTAGCCAACTTAAAATTAATATTTTTTAATGAAGTTTTCAGAGATAATAGTTTAATTAATTCTTTATAAAATAGTTTTTATTTTGATAAATTATCTCTATAGATGACTGAGATATTAATTATTTAGTAAATTATATCATCGCAGACTTCAAGGCATCCTTATAGTGAAAATTTTGACAAAATCAATGATAACTCTTATAATTTCAAATATTTTTCTATATTTTTTACACACATACTAAAATACATTAAATTTTCTATAAACAACTACTCACACATTTCTTTTTTCTGCATTTCGGTGAGCTACAAGTCGATTTCAAAATAAATTTCGCATCGTTTCAACTTACTTGCGGTCAGAAGAATCTTCTCCGCTTCCACCTGCGGCCTCACGCTGACACAATTCGTCTCACTCCTCCTAGACACTTCCAAAGCCTTCGACGCCTGCCTCATAATTTTGCACTGAAGATCAGCTTCCTCCTTCAATTTAATAAAAGTCTTAGTATCCAGCGACAAATCAGCTTTTTTTCTTTCTGTTTCTTTAATATCCTTTGGTGTCTTCATCGGCGTTGCATAAATCTCCTCCAAAGAATTAATCTTCGTCGAATTCGTTGCCATTTCAATTTTCGAAGCTTCCTTATCCAAAAATTGCACAAATTCATCATCAGGCGATGATGGCACATCAGAATCAGCCATCATTGAATCAAACATAGTCAACAACGAAGTAGGCACAACACGTCGTTGTCTTTGACGTAATTTCTTCGCTAATATTTTATCCGGAGTGATTCTTGCACGATACAACTCACCAACGAACCCGACATCACTCAAAAGACTAGCCGCTGACGACGATTGTGACGCTGACGCTGAATTTGAATTCGAAGTCGATGTTGATGTTGATATTTGACTTCCGGCTGTGTTTGTCACCATAATCGCGTTGTTTGTTGATTTTAACTCACTATCGGAATTGCTATCGGAGTGTGAATACCAGCCGCTATCAGGGCGTTCGCTGACCTTGATCTTGTGCGTGGCGTCAATGCGTGGCTTGACACGTCCGCTCAATCTCTGCCAGTATGAAGCTTTGTATGTGTTAACAACAAAACGATCATGAAGATTCTTCCGACATGGTTTATCGACTGGGTGTGGAGGTGAGATGTCAAACTGCTCCGCCATTTTGTATGATTTCCGATCAACAGTAGTCACATTAGGAATAATTGGACTTAGGTACAAACCATGTTCATCTTTGATTAATCTTGAGGTGTTTGATGAGAACTTTGGAGGTGTTGAACTTCCGCGGCTATTTTGTGATTGTTGTTGTTGTCCGTTGAAATTTTGGTTGTCATTTTGGGGTTTTGATAACACTGGTGATGGATGAACTGTTGCACAGGCTTTGATAATTAAAGGTTCATCATCACTTGAATCACTTAAGTCACTTGAATCACGGAAACAATCAGCATGAGATGGTAAATACTTTGATTTCAACGGAGTTAAAGTTTCGTAGATGTGACACTTCACTAACTGTGGTAAAATTTCATTTTTATTTTCATTTTCACATTTATTTTTATTTGGTTGATAATCACGATAACTCACTGTTGATGAATCTACATTGCAATACGTATTATCGCCTTCACTTTGTTTATTATTTATATTAACCGATTGATTTGACTTTCGGTGTTTATCATAACTACGGTTATGTTTCGCGTAGGATTTTCGGATGTATTCGGGCACTTCACACTTTTTACGCTCGTTTTTCTTGTATTTGCTGGTGTTTATCTCACTGTATTCCGGTTCGGGTTCGGGTTCAGTTTCGGGAAGTTTTGGATATGAATCATCTAAATCGGTTATTTGGAGAATTTTACGTTCGGAGTTTATTGAGGTTGATGTGGAGGAATAACGACGGATAGCGACTGGTATCTTGGATTTGTATTTTGCTGGACTTTCGATTTGTTGATGTTTTTGAGGCGACTGAGGAGTTTTAAGTTGATTTTTGTTGTTTTCATTGGCGATGTGGGCTTTTCGACGCATGCTTCTATTGACAAGCTGTGGATAAAAACAAAAATCAGTATATTTAAGTTTTATGATAAGAAATAAATTAAAATTTATGAATAAAAATTGAAAAAATTAAAATTTTGAAAAACAAAATTTTTAAAAATTAAAAAAAAAAAAAAAAAATTTTAATTTATTTAATTTAAAAATTTGTTTCATTTGCAAATATGGCTGATTAATAAATATTATTCAGTGATTTTTGACAAAATATTGCATAATTTAAAAATTAAATTTATTAATTACCATTTTGCGTGATTTGCTCCATATTGCATCCAACCCCAGCACCATGATGAAAACTTTCTTCTTCACTGCACACTTTATAGAAAAACACACATAAATAAAATATAACTTGTTAACACTGCAAAATATTATCGGTAACTAACCGAAATTTTGCATTTTCTGTCATTTTATACCCAAATATTCAATACAAATCAAACATAAAAGTAGAAGGGGTGCGACAATGGTCTAAATATTTCGCCTAATACAATACCACTAATGTTTTCCAGAAATTTCTCAATTCTTCTACCTAGTTTAATCCTAATCCATGAATTTTTCCCTAATGACAATTTTCTATGAACTGGATCATAAAATACGACGTTTCGTTTAATCTTCTTAAATAATATTATACCTGCGATATGCGACATTATAGATTGTGAATATTATTTGTATTATTTCTATTTGCCGAGATGATTAAGCCAAAAATACCATCCGCCCTAGAATTGTGTGAAATATTCGGCTCGGTTTTTATTCTCGCACGCCGGCCGCCGCAATTCGGAGACGCGGAATGATCGCGATGATCACAATGAGAGAATGCTGCCGCCATTGTTGCGTGCCTCTTCGGCTCAGAGGTGACAAGCCGGACGATAACAGTCCATCAAGTCGCTGGCGCGCATACATCACGCGCTCCACGGCCGGCTTTTTCATACGGTTCATTTCGTCGTCCAAACGAAAACCAAACACAGAGTCAAACCCCGAACTGAATTGTGTCTCTTTTTATTCTGCTTCTGCTCTGGTTTATGCCAATCTGATGCTTTGGTTTTCTTTTTCTGTTTTTGTTTCTTGCGGTTGCCGAATTGAATGCCGAGCAGTCGGGCAGCGAAAAACAAGACTTTGGACGGGCGGCTGGCAGCTCGCTACTGAATTTTTTTGCGCGCTCGTTATTTTTCCACACTGCGTATGCGTGGTTTATTTCATCCGCAGGAGAACACAAGCGCCGATGCAGAAGAAGACGCTTCGATCTGTTGCGCGCTTCTTCGCTGCGAGCCGTCGCGTCGTTGAAGAACAATGGCATCGCGACGAAGACGACAGGCCAGGGAGCTGGATTCCCATGCGTATGTGGTCGACCATTTCAAAAAAGAATTTTAATTTGCATCATTTTCAACCTAAGATTATTTCAGAAAATATTTTAGTGGTATTAAATTAATTTTAAAAATAAATATTGTGGTTTAATTAGCATGGAAAATCAAGTAGGTATCGATGTTGAGGATTGTGTCTTTGGATGATCGATGGGAATCATTATAAACGGCGACGATGAAGATGAACACAGCGACAAGTTTTTCTATACGATTCGTTATTTATCTTTATGAAACCGTGAAACCATCGAATTATGAATGCTTCGTTGCGTCCCCGATGAACTTGAACTCTCACTCACGGCATGATCGATCACGAGAAATGCAGTCTACAGTATTTTAATTAAATATTAAAGAAAAAAGTTATAAAAATAAACTAAAGAAAAAAATTATTCGAAAAAAATGTTTTTCTAAGTTTGACAAGCTGTAATTTTTAGGTTATAATAATTTTATAAAATATTTTTTATATTCAAGAAAGAGTAGTTATTCCTCTTTAAAATACATTTTAAATTTTGTTTCTAGCACTAAAACTTTCGAAGTTATTTTAATTTTGTTTTGTTTTGTAAAATTTTTGTTTTTTATGTTTTGTGTGAGTTTTTTGGCAATAACTCAAATACTTTAATAACTGCATTAACAAAATTTTAACCATAAATAGTTTAATAATTTCTGAGTATTATTTCGTTTAAATCATATCAATACCTTTAAAATTGAAAAAGTTATGACGTTTTAAACTTTTGTATTAAAAATCCCAAATTTTTTATTTTTTATTACTTCTATATCTTTGAGGTTATGTAAGTTATAACGACACAAAAAACGCTACCAACCTCGCTAATATTGATTTAACAAAACACATTTTAAACGAAAATTTTATTCCTTTTACTTTATGATTTATTCCGATTATAAAACCACCTGTCAATTAATTTCTTCACATTTTTCGCATTTTTAAATTTGAATTTTTTGCTTGTTTCAGGAGATAAACCACACGCGTGCGAATTATGCGGCAAGAAATTCGCGTTGGCGTGCAACCTACGTGCCCATATGAAAACCCACGAAGGTAAGCATCATCTACCATCAACCTATAAAAAAATTCTAATCGATTTCCATCCGCAAGCCGCAATTAAATGATTAAAAACTTTGTATGCAGAAATTTGCGTAAAAAATGATTAAAAGCTCATCAATTACAATTAAATGCGCATTCGCGTGATACAATTCGGCCTTCTCGTCTTTGCCGAAACGCATCCTCTCCACACACACATATAACCCGGAGCAGATTCCTCCTCCAGAATGCATTAAACATGAAATCTGAATCGGACGCGAAGTTTTGTGTGTTTGAATTTCGGAATCGAATTGTGCAAATTTACATAATTTCGGGTGGCTTCTTTGCCGTGGGTTTTTTATTGTGTTTTGAGCTGCTTCCATTCTGAGTCAAAGATAAAGGGCATTTGAAGGGAGCGCTGAATATTTATGACTCGGGCATCTCCAGCGGGATTTTTGAATAATACATTAGGCCGGCGTTTTGTGATTTGTATGAAATTAAATGCGGACGCGCAACGGCCTAATGCAATTTAAATTGGCCGAAGCGTTGCCCATCGGCGGGAATTATCGGTAATGGCGGGCGGTGGTCTCGAACCATGCGGATCTTGAAGTTGGAAGCTAGACGCTGAAATTACCCTCCTGTAAGATGTCTAGCGACATAGCCTCTAGCACCCATGCTTAAATTTCCACACAAATTCGAGGGATGAACGAATTTCGTATTAAAACTATGTTGAATATGTTTTATACCTGGTTTCTTGACCATAATGTACTTGCATCAAAAATTGTGGTCATGTTTGCTGGAGTATGGTATTATTTCGGATGGCGTGTCATTTAATTTTTCGTCTGCATCAGGAAATGTGTAATTTCATGGAATAATTTCGTGTGCACCAATTACCTAACACCAGGACATTAAGTAAAGCCCTTTAAGCCGAGACAATGCATGAATTTGATGTGTACAAAGGCGCCATGGTGCCCAGGGTGCCCAGGGTGGAGTCAGGGTAATTCCGACAAAATTTTATGGCTACTTACGGTTGGATTTATGCGTATTTCGTGGGAAAAACATAAATGCGCGTTAAATCTGTTTTAAATTAAGATAAAAAGAATGTTTCACACAAAAACTTAAATTTATTCAAATTTTTGACGATTTTGACTAGTTTAAGATAGATGGCGATGGTTGCCAGTTGTAAAAATTAATAAAACTGATTTTATTATCAATTTTCATTGATATTAAGACAAAAATATGAAAAAACTTGTTTTTAAGTAATTAATTGACTTTAAACACAACTTTAAGCTGTTATCTATTGTTTTTTTTTATAATTTGATATTTAACCTTAAAATTAGTAATATTGACATTGTTAATTTTAACTAATCATTCATAGATGGCGCTACTTTAATTTTTAAGTTAAATTAATTAATATTTTGTATATTTTTAGGTGAAATTCAAGAGGAATGCACACGTTGCAATCAAAAGTTCATCCCTAGTGTACCAACTACCAACGAAGATGAAAATACACAAAATGGCGACGATACTGACGAAATGAAAACAGTATGCTCAACGTGTCGCGATGCAAAAACCAGTTTTGATGATTCTGCTGATGAAAGTTCTCCAGAATGAAACAAAACGCCGCAAATCTTATTTTATTTATTTAAATATTTAATGTATATTTGTATAGTTACACCATAAGCACATTTTATATCTATATTTATCCATAGTCACTTTAATATTCGATATTTCATACTTATAACGAATGTAAATATTTAAACGAATTTAATTTCGTTTTATACACGCGTCAATCACAACGCATTCAACGTAAATGTTTAAATTTATAATTCGACACTCGATACTTACGTGCGTTAAGTCGCATTAGGCATTAATGCCTTAAGTACACTTTGATTTTATGAATGAACGCATCGGACGAGAACGAATTAATGGTTTTATTTGAGTTCACGATGTTGGTATTCGAACGAGAGGCAAAAGACCTGCATCGTACCTGAATTGGATCGAAGGAGAAAAGACTTTGGACAGTAATCGGCCCTACGTTTGAGGTTAATCGTCCGTAGAGGATGAAGGAGTTAAAAGACAGGCAATAAAGCATTGCGTTTCTAAGCTAAACAACCGTAAGGCACTTGGAGAAGTCGAACAAGTTGATCCTGGGACGCAGGGTTTCAGAAATGTCAATCATGGGAGTATTTAAGCTGGGAATTGTTAAAATTGAGGTTAAATTGGTAATTAGTGTTGATTTCATGTGGAAAAACGTTAAAACAATAAAATAACGTTTGAAGTAAAGGAAAACATATTGGAATATTGATAGAGGGACGAAAAACAATAGAAAATGGCCACGGTACAGAGAATTCATTATAATTTCTATTGAAAACAACGTTTTGTTAGTTACAACCTTTATAACTCAAGAACGGCTGGACAGATTTTGATGCTTTATGATTTTTTGGATTCATATTTGACTGGAATAGGAGAATAAATAATAAAATATCCACAATTATTATATACAGGGTGTTAAATAATGGATGAAAATTAATATTGGGGTTCAATCATAGTTATAACTAATTAATTCAATCTGAGATGACGCTAAAGTGCATTATTAGCATTTTTCGTACTAAATCTTGAAGAAAAAATAAAAATTAATTATATTTTTACTAAAAATTTGAAAAAAACACAAATTTTGATAAAAAGCAACAAAATTTGACTGAAAATCTGAATGATTTTGTTATAAAAGCTATTAAAAATGTCGTCCACTATAGAATTAACATTTATTCGATTCAAAATGGCGGATTTTCAAAAATCTGCAAAAATTAAAAAAAAGTCATTAAATAACAAATCACATTATATAAATGTTTATGAATGAGTGGGTTTATAACCTCTTCGACTTTACGATGCCGATCGCCCGATGCTCGATGCTTGAGGACGATGTCTTCGGCGGACTTTACGAGTTCGTTCTCGTTCTCATTCTCCAGTCACCAATTAAGGCGGCCGCTAACAAGATAAACCAACTCGAACATCAACGCGACCCGCGACGGCACATACAAAGTGTCCTTTTTACTACGACCGCGACAACTCAATCGCTATCTAACGACGAACAATTTTTCGTTCTGACGATGTTGGCGCTGCTTTTTTTTGAGTGATTTAACGTGAAATCGATGTATCCAGCGCCCAGCGGCGTCATTTCATCTTCGGAGTTGATTTCACGCTCGACGGCGGATAATTCCACGTGACATATTCTTAGCGACATCGGTGAAACAAGTCGCGTCGTGGGTAATGTCGTCCATCTTGTTATGCGTCGATATCATGATGGATCACTATGCATCGCTTGTTTTTATTTTTTAGTTTTTTGTCAAGTCGTTAAAATTGATTTATTCAAGTAAGAACTCATCATGATATAAAATTCAATTGATTTATTATTTAAAACCAAGAAATAGTAACAAAATTGTTGCTTTATTTATAAAATGGTAAAATTTAAATTTGTTAATGATAAGTTTAGTTTAATATTATTTATATTTTATGTAAAATGCACACCACTGAAAAGCTCAATTATTTTAGCTCTTTAATTGTTTAGAAAAATAATTTATATTATTTTATTAACAACTTAACAATTTAGTTTGAACATGTCTAGTCATGTATATGTTTATAAATGTTTATTTGTATTTGTATAATTATTATTTTCTAGTTTAAACGATATAAATATATATTTTTTAAATTAAAATGTCACTAGATCATATTTTTGAATATTTAAACAATTAATAAATATTTAAAGAATAATTGTGTTTCTTTTGTAAAATACATATTATTTATTTTCTGTTTACATTGTTTATCTTTGTGTATCATATTTCCTACAATAACAAACAACACAATTTGAAATTAACTTTATATTTCTTAAATTATTATGATTTGAGGTAGGCAACATATATAACATCTTTCACGATGAAATATATTGTTTTTATGTTCATAAAACGTTATACTAAGTATAACTTAAGCTTTATATATTTTTATTATGTATCAAATAATTACTATAAATAAACATTGTTTATTCATACCAAAATTGAAATATTTCAAGAATTTTTAAGTGTTTTTAACAATTTACTATAGGCAACCCATTTTTTAGACTCGCGTTCATTTACCGCATCAAAATCATTAATTTATTCATTAAATAATATTAAACTGAATTATTTTACATACAAATAAACACTTTGCTATCGCAAATCGACGCACGGCGAAGCAAGGCCACGGCGATAACAGGTTCCCAACTGAACGAGTATTACAATTACAAAGTTGTTTCCTACTTCATACCTAGAGGACGCCAGGAGTTATAAAAATTTATAAATCCTTGAACAAGTTCAAATAAAATACACAATAATAGATAAATGTGTTGTTTATTTTGATCGTAACTATACGATTTTATCGTTTTGTAATGCTTGTGGCAATTTTACAAAAAAACTTCAAAACAAATTCACAACAAGGTAAATATATTAAATTGAAGAAAATATAACAACAATTTATATTATTACGATACGAGTATATAAATGTCTCACAGTCAATTAAAGAAAATTGAATGTATAAAAGCATAACACAAAACCGGAAGATAATCGTAAATTCCTGAGCATTCATATATTGTTACTGTTTCTGCCTGCGGTAATGCCCGCTTGCTTGTGGCTGTTTTTGCTTTTTTCTTACTATTAACATTCGACTACATAACATTCACTCACGACGAAGAAGTGAGCGTTGCAACACTTGCGCTTTCGTTCACTTCCGATTATGTGGATTGCGTGCGTGGTACACAGACAACTACCGAGTGTCTCAATTAATCACACATAATTTCTATTCGCAGAATTGCATATTATTTCTAAAAAATTACATTTGACATATGACATTATAATTAAAACTTTATTAACACACAATTATAATTTTGCAATGCATTTATCTTCATATGTTTATAATTACACTATTTTGCATGTATGAATGTATGCATACATTAATTGAATTCATGAGTTGCATTGTAGTGTGTTGTTGTTGTTGTCATTCGTAAACAATGTACGAGTATCAAGGCATGGCGAATCAACGTGAAGAATGTGCGACGTGGGCGCGATATTACGTAGAGAAAGTGAACTAATGTAATGCAGTGCGATGCAATGCGTGAAGTGAAGAAATGTCACCTTGCTCAGGTTCGTCACAGTCGTCAAACAAAACGGTAGCAAACAAAAACACAGACTTTATAATTATCATGTTCTCAACAACTCTGATTTATTCATGTTTATTTGTGAGTTATAACCTTAAATAAGTGGTTCTTTACAAATACTAATTTACAAATAATAAATTTACAAACATTAAAATATTGTAGGTTAAAGTGCAGATTGTGTTAAGCAAATGTGTTGTGAGGGGTTTTAAGTGATGTTGTGCCAAGTTAAGTAAACTTAAAGAAATTGTTAACGGAATGGCTGGCGAAACAACGAATTCGGAAGTGATTTGCAGCTGCAAAGCGTGTGAGTTTGTTATGTTTATTTACGCAGTAATTTTCTACATGATTTCATTTTTAACTTGCAATATACAACATTACAACTTATTTCATACTGGATATTAACGGCAATTACATGCGTATATTATAAGAGAGTTGGTAATTATTATGTTTAAATTAAACTTTCGACGTGAATGTTAAATGTTAACTAATTTATTTTATGTATATTAATTTTGTGGTTATTTAGGCGGTTTAAACATTTTTAAAACAAAGTTATAATTTTATGTGTTAATATATTTGCAAACATATATTTTGAGGTTTTGTGATGGATATAAGTTACAAAATAATTTTTACGGTCAGGGCCGATGATAATCGCTAATCGCTAGTAAATAGCAAACACAAAAAAATTAGCAAAAATATACAAGTAAGAGATATTCGTAATTCAAAAAAGGGCGAAAAGGAAAAAGTGCACTAAAAGTGCAATAGTCACGTTTGTGGTTCTTTTATCCCACGAAATTCATATGTCATAATATGCCAAGAACGTTGATTTTCCGTGTTTATTTAGATATAGTGTAATTAAACGCAATTGTATAGTTTTGTCTCATTCGGTTTTCCGTAGCAGGATATCGATAAAAGAGACTCATGTTCAGGGCACCGTACATGGGTGATTAATTTCATTTTACGGAATAAATTTCATTTATATGCATTTTAATTATCTTGTAGAAAATGTTACGTTCATTAAGAATTTGAAATCTGTTCGTATATATCTTTTATAGTTTACGAGATATTCGCGATTGAATAAAATGGATAAAAATTGAAAAATGTCACTTTTTAGCCCTTTTAGTTGCGTTTTTCGACCTTTTACTGTAGGAAAAATAATTATTTTATATTTTTATCTGATAGAGAATTATACAGTCTTTCATAATCACCAATTCGCTGGTAACTATCGCTTTTAGTTTAAGAGATATTAATTATCAAAAATCGTCAAAAAAAAGTATCAAGCAATTGGCAATTTTTTCTTAAGATTGAAAATTTTATCTCTTAGATTTCCCTAGCCTATCTTATAGAAAATAGTTTGTAGATTAAGATGCTGCGATCAGATCCTAATTATCTCTTTTAGTTTACGAGATATTCGCGATTGAATAAAATGGGCAAAAATTGCAAAATGTCACTTTTTAGCACTTTTAGTCGCGTTTTTCGACCTTTTGCTATAGAAATTATAATTATTTTTAGTTTTTATCTGATAGAGAATTTTACAATCTTTCATAATCAGCAATTGGTTGATTCCTGTCGCTTTTAGTTTAAGAGATATTAATTATCAAAAATCGTCGAAAAAAAGTATCAAGCACCCTCCCTTGGCAATTTTTTCTTAAGAATGATAATTTCATCTTTCAGATTTCTGTTTTAAATAGCCTATCTTATAGAGATTAGTCCGTAGATTAAGATGCTGGGATCAGATCCTAATTATCTCTTTTAGTTTACGAGATATTCGCGATTGAATAAAATGGGCCAAAATTGAAAAATGTCACTTTTTAGCACTTCTAGTCGCGGTTTTTAACCTTTTACTCTATGAAATATAATTATTTTATATTTTTATCTGATAGAGAATTTTCCTGTCTTTTATAATCTGCAATTCGTTGGTTGCTATTGCTTTTAGTGGAAAAACGCGGAAACATTAATTATTGTTTATAATTGTCTAAATTGTGGGACTAGTATCTGTCGCATTCATAGATGGCACTAGGATGCCCTCAAAATCATAAAATCGAGTTATACGGCTTATTTTTATATTTATCAACAAACGTGAACAGTTTTGTATTCAATACTGTTATCTGCGATGCGGTGTAAACAACGTTTTTAGCGCATGTGTCCCGCGCGCTGTCTTCTAGCGCCGCATCAACTTGCTGCATGCAGCGAAGTCTAGTTTAGTTTTAATCACAGGTATTGTGCATATTGCAAATTCGCGCACAAGGTCGCGTGCCTTCGACGCGCCGTTTTTGCGCACCTCTTGCTTTCTTATCGTATGCTGTCCCGTAGTTGTTTACGCAGTTTCGGCATGCACTATCGGTGGATTGCAGCCAGTTTCGTGCCGGTCGTTTATTCGGACTTGAATATTCTAAATTTGTGTTAACTCGAATGTATAATATACTCTGTAATTGTAATATACTATTTATTTGTACTTTGAGAGTGTAGTAATTTGTTTAATATTCGGAAATGCCGGTTTTTGATCGCGTTTGTTATGTATATTACAATTTACGTGATAGTGGATTTGATAACATTCTGCTCTCGGCGTTGTGTTTAGTGTCGGTTACTAAATTAATCGGATATATATCGCCCCCATTCAGGAAGATCCATCAGGCTCGTGTTAGTATTGTTTTAACCGCACAGATTGTTTATTTTGTGTTGATTGTTAATTATAACATAATTCAATTGTACCTATGTACTATTTTTATTTTTATTTATGTTTTCGTTTAGTTACAGCAGTCGTTGTGCCTGGCAGTCCGATAAGCTGTACACGGGTAAGTTTATGATTCAATTATATTTTTCGGTCAAATTTACATTTTCTGTTTATAAACAAGTTTTCTATTTATCACGTACTACCTACCTTCAGTTAGTTACCAATAATTTATTTTGTAATCACGCTGTAAAACATAGTTAATTCGGTGTATCTAAGTAAGCAAAAAGTGTAAGTAAATATAAACAAATGTGAGTTATTTACACAATTTGTGATGAAAATTCTGTTCTTGAAGTGTGTTTGAGACGTTTGTAAAGTTAAAATCATTCTTATAGCATATTTTATTAATTGTCACTTCATTGTAGGCAACCATAACTCCACTTAAAGTTAACGCAAACAAAATCAGTTCCTTGTTAATAACATAATATATGTTAAATTGTTTAATATTATAATTATACATTGAGACATTTGCCTGACATGAAAACACAGTTTAGAAAACTAACACCACATGGAAATCTCACCATATTTCAAAATCGCATTTTTATTTCTTAATGAATTTAAACGTGCGCGTGAATACATGCATTAGAATGTGTGCAATTTAGCAATAAACAATTTGGCACTGATCCACCGCGCCGCAATTGGAAATTGGCATGGATTGCTCATGTTGCGTCGTCGGTGTGACACAAATTATTGCGATTGATTTGTAATTGATTGGCACACGTTTTATCATTATCACTCGATTCATTTAATATCGCTGAACATTTAAATCGAATTTGATATGGTAATTATCGCCTTGAAACCAATCGCCATTTAATTAGTGAATGACGATACGCGCGTTGACTGCCATTTAAGTCTTTATTAAGGTCTGTGTAATTAATTATGTTATGGTTGAGCAAATAATATCAATCGATGGAATAGAAATTTAAAAGTTAATAATAAAATGGAAATAAAATAAAAATATTAATAACAGGAAATATAAAGTAGAAATATTCCTTTTAAGGTTAATAAATTTATTAATTACAATAAGAAATAAATGGAATACTACGTTTTATCCACATTTAGTTTATTTTTTATTTTTATTGAATTTTATATTAGAAATTTGAAAAAAAATTTTTTTTTGCAAATTTTTAAAAAATTTAAAGAAATTCAATTTTTAAAGGATTTTGACTTGCGGTATAAATGCCGAACATGATGTTTCAATCATATTTCATAATTTCTCCAATAATCGATACAAATTTGGTTCATAAAATGTGGTTATGTTCAAAATTTTGCTGTAAATTTGATTTAGGAATAAATAATTTAATTTTTTTGTAATTTTACGCCAATTTCTTTAATTACTTTTAAAATAACAGGAGAAATAAATAACTTTTCTTTCTACACTAATAATTCATGATTATAAATATGTCTAAAATGTCTATTACTCAATCTAAATGAAAAAATAAAGTCATAAACATGTAAAGTATTAAATACAAAAATACTAAATAATAAACTTGCCTGAAACTTGATTTTCGGCTGGAATTTATCAACTGTAAAACATTTTGATTCGGTTTTTAATTACAGCCTTGCGCTTCGAACGTTTTTACTCGGCAATTAACCGAATGCGCTCGATTATGAACTCATGTGGTTTTTATGGGATTATAATTAGTTATGCATGCATATAATTATGGCTGGTGAAGTTACTATACTCGTAGTTACTACATTACTAGTTAGTCAGATGTTAGTGAGTAAAAGTAAAAAAAGTTGAAATTAAAAAGTAAAGAAATGAAACGAAAGAGAAATAAATGTGTATATTTTGTTATAAATTGTCATTGGACAGGACAGTACTAAAAATTATTTAAATTTAAAAAATAAAAATTTTAAGTTAAATTATACTCAATTTGTAGCGCCATCTATATGTTAGTATCGTTAGAATATTTTTTAGTATTGGTCTTGTGCTGCACCGCAGGAAAATGCGCAGACGCTAGCTCCACCCTGTGACTAAAGCCCATGACTAAAGTACTTTAATCACGACTTTAGTCCGTGTTTTAAGTATCACTTTATGTGGCTCAAAATCGTGTTTTAAAGATGAAAGTAGAAAAAATTAATTTTATATCACATTTTATTAATTGTCCCATCGGTGTAGGCAACCAACATTTCGTATTTACAAAATCAAGCATAATTTCATTAAAAATTATGTATTTTAAACGAAAAATATATGTATTTATTTATTAAATCCAGCACTGAATAATGTTATTAACATTATTTTTGGAGTTGAACAGGTAGACGCATTTTTCGAAGAAAGAAGAAAGTTTGAACGCTGGCGCCAGCCGAACTTGTGTCGAATTTTATCGGCAATTATGTATTATGCCATGCCTTGCAATCTCTCACGCAAATGCAAAGTGTTTTAAACATTACCAACATAAACAAAAGCGATAAATAAAACATAAAACCACTAATAACACCACTAATAACATAGACATAAAATCTTATTTCCAATTATATTACTAATAACATTAGTAATAATAATAAAAGTTCTGTTTTTAATTTATTTTTATTGTAACACTCTGTATAACTCCGTATATAAATCATAACTTGTTATGAACGTCTCCGAGGCGTGTACCTGTGCACTCGCAATTATTTATTCTTGTTCTTGTTGTTGTTGTTGTTTTTTTCTGCTGATTATTTGATTACACTTTGCATTATGCACGTTTACATACCAAAACGTTACGTAATCATCAAACCGTTATAATTATTTATTTAAAAAATTACTTATTTTTTACTCTGGAAATTAAATACTTATTCGAGCGCAATTTTAGTGGATTTTAGTAATTGAAAAGTTAAAAATTGAAAAATTGTATTTTTTGTTGATTTCGATCTTGAGGCCATGGATTATTAACCGTAGGTAAATGTACTCCACTCGCCGTTATCGATTGCATTCACTTTCAAAGCGAAATGTTAATGTAAAAGTGCTTTCATGCAACGCAACGCCAAAGGTCATTTTAAAACACTTCCTAGTCTTTCAAATGTATGTAAACTAATATCAACAACAACAAATGATTTTTTGGAATTATAAATGCGTGTTTATACCATAATTTAATTGATCAATAAGTACATAGGATACATATTTATAAAAACATTTTTTTAAATTGTTTTATGTAATTTTTCATTTTTAATCATCAAAAGTAGTAAAATTTGTTGAAATGGCTTTCAGGAATCAAACATTTGTAAAATTTTACTTATAGTTAAAAAAAAGCCTTATAAGCATCAATATTGAGTATAAAGCAAAGTTGTGTTAGTTACACCATTTATAACTCAAGAACGGTTGGACATATTTTGATCATCTATGATTTATTTGATTTGTCTTTATCTCGAATAGAACAATAACTATTAAAATTTAAAAAAAATTTTATTAATTGGCGTTAAATAAAGGATGAAAGTTGGTTTCGATATTTAATCATAGTTATAGCTAAATAAGTGAATCCGAGATGGCGCTGCAGTGCATTACTATTATTAGCATTTACCTTCATTTTAAAAACAGACTAAACAATGTTTTCTTATCATTATCTTTAAATTAAACAATTAACAAAACTAATATTCTTTTAAAAAATGAATAAAATCGTTGTTTCTTCACATATTGCACAATATATCTTCCACAGATAAACATTCTTCCTGATCTTACACAACAAACTTGCGTTTGATTGAGTGATCGGATGCTGCGCTGCTAAGAAATCATTAATTTTAATTTTCTGCGTTTTGCATTCGTGTGTACCTACTCGCAATTATCGGCATTGTGCGTTCGATCATGCGCACGCGTCCCGTGCGATATTTCCTCGTTTTTAATTGATTACGCCGTCAATCACAGCCAGCCAGCTTCTTTAATCACATCTCTCTTCTCTGCAAACTCATCTGGCTTCACCGGCCAGCGACTTCCTATCCGAGCAATATCCTATTGAAATCAACGCGTGATGTAATCGTGCGTTTAATTATGAAGCAAAAAAAGCGCACACATCGCGCCTTTCTTCTCTGCCTTCTTTTCCTTCTTCACGAGTTTTACTCGGCCGGCTCGTACCAACTGGTAACCTGCAACACTAGGAAGTGTTTAACGTTTAACTCAGCGCTACTGGGCACGAAAATCAAGCAAAAAACACGAATACGAAGAAATGAGAAATGATTTGTTGTTTGTTTGTCGGAACTGGTTTGCGCCGAGAGAATTTGTTGTTGTTTGTTCGTGCATGTAATATTTTTATGTTGGTATAGGTGTTGTGTGTGTGTATACTGGCTGGAAGCTGAAGGAATGCGTCGTGTGCCTGACCTACATAAACTTGAAACTCTTTCCAATTGCGTTGTTCACAGCGGACAACATTCGCTCAAGCGGCGATTAATGAGAATTTTAAAATGTCGCTCGTGCATATTTTAGCAACAATTATGTAACTTTTATATCGTAAACTCGTAAATTTTACACTCAAGTATTTTTATGTTTATTTTTATATTAATTTTAATCAATTTCAGAGGGGATTTTTGTTAATAAACTTGTTTTTGATTAGTTTGCTTATAACTTTTTAACTAATCATTGGATTTTATTAAATTTAGTATCAAATTAAAGGTGGGTTATGTGGGTATATATTGTTGTTAAAATTAATTTAATTATTATTATTTTTCATATTGAAATAAATTAGTTAAACTTTTGATTTCATGCAAAAAAAATTTTTTGCAATGTTTAAACGCGTGTATCGTCTACATTTTTAGTACAAAATTTACAATATTAACGAATTTATTAGTTTAAGTATTTATCTATAAAATAGTGAAAGAAATTTTGTTTTAACTTTATTGGTTCTCGAGATATAACGATTTAAAATTTTTTACTAAAGAAAACTTAATATGCAACCAGTTACACGTAAATTTTCTTATGTTATGTTGTTCATTTGTACTTAGCAGATGGCGACACATAATAATTTACATTTTTTTAGTTTTTCTGGTAATAAATTCACCTCTCGCCATTCACTTTGCCAATATATTACTAATTACCTCCATTAGACATGTATTACACCAAACATCTGAGAATTGAAAGCATTTGCAAAGATTGTA